CTTGATAGTAATGAGGTAATAGATATTTATAATTGTTTCGGTAAATAATCTTATACAATATTTTTTTTTTTTTACAACATATCACACATAAAATATATTTTATTTTTTGTTAATAAAATTAACTAGTTGGCTCCTGCGAAAAATTCGCAGAAAATTTTGTTTAGTGAAGAAATAGTAAAACAATATGGAAATAAGTAGTTCAAATGTTAATTAATATTTTTCCCTTAATCCATTACAATATTCCATTAAACATAATAGACCAAAATATTTATACAAATTGCTTTGCTAGAATCTATTTTTAAACGCTGACTGAAAAGATAATAAGAGTAATAAAGAGAAAATAATGCACCGATCATAGGATATTCTAAATTATTAAAAAAAATAAAATGTAAGAACAACCAAATGTCTTTAAGAAATAATAAAGTTAATATAACAGCCAGGAAAAAAAATGTAGTAGACTATTCTATTCCTAAATGCAATATATTTAAACAGGAAGACATTATTAAGTATACCAAAACTAATGGACTGTATCTTTGTTAATAATTGTCCGATTTTACGATTTTTTTTGTTTTGTAAGTAATTTAGTAATCTTTCTAATTATCATGGGTACAATCAAGAAAAAAATGCATACTTTTTGAATTATTCGCAAATAAAGTTTCTTTTCCTCCATAACTTTTTCCCAGAAATTTCGGGGGATGGGACTATTTTTCGCATTGAAGGAGAAATATCTTCAAATGAGTGGTCAATCATTGATTTGATGAAGAATTGACGAAGTTATGGCGTACCGACAAAAAATCAACTTTTAGAAATAATATATAGGATAATAATAATGGTAGTTGTTCTTAACGAAATAGTTTTAGTCTATATTAATTCAGAGCGCCTGACATTATATAAAAACATTCCGTTTTTCATATCATGCCTAAATTGAAGGTTTTCTAGGGTTTTTGCCATTTTTATTCTTTTTTTCGACCAATTTGAGTCATATCTTCGTCAATTTTTCATCAAATGCAATAATTGAGCCTTTTTCATTTTGAAAATTATCCCCTTTTTCTTGTTTTAAAAAATGAGTACATCCCCATCTCTTTGTACCCTTTACATTGAACGAAATTATCTTCATGTAGTGATAAAGAAGGCAGAGAACATGGCTGTATTCTTTCGTCCTAGAACCGCCTTCGAAAATAGCCCTGGCAGGAAGCTAACCTAGATACCTCTCTGTCTAAAATTGCATTAATGTCAATTTTAAATCCCGATTTAAAACATTTCAACATCAGGATTTGGAAACATTACATGTCCTTCTCCGTTTCTATTGTTTAAAAAAAAATTTTCACGATCGCAATACTTACCCTTACTATATATTACATATATACGTAAGTGAAAGTAAAAAATGTATGAACAAAACCCTGTTGACCGCTGGAATCGATTTATATTGAATTCAATCGTGATTGACAATAAAAGGGTCAGAAAAAAGAGGCACTTATTGCCAGAAGCAAAATTCAATCCAAATTTAATTTTTAGATATTTGAAGGCTACCAATGGGTAGTTTCTCAACAAGAGATTTCATGTTATTATATTCCTGAGTTGTATTTTTTTTTATAATACAGTTGTAAATATCAATGAATAAATAAAACAATTTTTTTAGATTAAATAAAAAATAATGATTTCGGTTTCATGATAGCTTTGATATTAATTCAGCAAAAAAAAAAAAATAGTGTTATGATATATATTTTTTTGAAATACATTATATAGCTAAAAATACTGCAATACAATTGTTGACTTTTATTTATTAAGAGTGGAAGAGTAAAAGAAGAGGCAAAAGTTGTAGTTTTGGACCTGGGCAAAAGGCTAAATGATAGTCCGAAAACTATGTCTTGACCAATACGAGTTATTCATGGGGAAAGGAAGATGAAATGATGACTGAGCAAGTCAATGCATGAACTGTAACATTCTGGAGTCTAGCGACACCGGTTCGAATCCGGTCTGTGCAGGTCGTAGTTTATTTCTTAACAGACCAATGGATTGAATCTTGACCTTCCCAATCTGGTTCGAATAGGTTTGGTAGAACCTCCATCTCTTCCATATGTCATAAATGATGAAATAGAGTAAAAAAAATATATATTATTGATGGTTGAGCTTAGGAAGAATGAAGACACAGGAATGGAGAAGAGTGAGGACAGCCTTTAAGGGGCAAGATATAGATGGATAGAAAAAGATACTTAATCTTTGAACTTTCCAGTGGGGTCCTATAACATGTTTTTTTAAATGGGTAATAAATAATCAGGACGCAGTCTTTTTTTTTTTTTTTTTTTTATTTAAATGTTTTGTTTATGCCGTTTCAATCCAAATATGTGGGTCATCTTCAGGGCGTGGTTTGAGCACTGAGGGTGTTCAAGTAATGTTGAAGTGAGTACTTGAACACCCTCAGTGCTCAAACCATGCCCTGAAGATGACCCACATGTTTGGGTTGAAACGTTGACATAAATAAAAAATTAAAAAAAAAAAAAGGCTGCGTCCTGATTATTTATCACCCATGATATGGAGAACAATCGACTTAGTTCTTTCTATGGTTTTTTTTTAAATCTTAATAATAACTGCTTTAAAAAATTAATAATATTTCATAATCAATGCGAATGTTATTAGTTTTATAATTACTTTTTTTTTAAGAGTATCACGAAAAAATACATTTGCCCCGGGTCCCAAATGCTCTAGTTGTCAATTAACATTGTCAATTAAGAATTATTTGCAGGACTTAAAAGTCTACAGCTGCTATAAATGAGCTTATGTATTTACATGGTACACATTAACCATTAAAAATGTTTGCTCTAGAAAGGGTACTTCTTCATAAGTAGTTCACCAAAGACCTTTCATGTTTCATAATGGTACAAAGTTTTGTTTTTTAAAACCTGTATTTATACTTAATTTTTTTATCTTATGCCTTGATTTTCTTTAGCTCTTTCGGCTATGCAACGTCTAGCAGCCCAGTAAATTTCACCTCCTGTCCTGGATTTGTTTCTAATGTCCTGTAGTCCAGGACAAGTCAGTAGATACAGAGCTATCATGAATCCTTGCCGATACAGTGGACATGTTGCTGATTCGATAACTCCAATACGGTATAGATGGCTAAGGAGATAGTCATGTCCGGTTTTCACCCTAAACTGTGCAGCAGCATCACTTTTAGGGAGATGCACTGGTACTTTTCAATTTTCTTCAAGTAATGAAGCCCATTGCTTCTCCTTTAACTCCAACTGCCGTTTTTGTTCCAACTCTTTAGTGATTATTGTTTTGATTTGCAGAAATAAAATATTGCATTGTTATTAGTGAGGTTACTTGATGTTAAGTTACTTTGACTCAGCATAATTGTCGATAATTATGTATGAAACTTCTTATAAATGGTTCTTAATTAATAATGAACTCAAAATATTAAAAAGTAATAGTTGAAATTCTGGATTAGGTGTGTATATGTATATATGCATACATACCAGAGTAGGTATATATTTCCAAATAAGGCTATATACATAAGGGTTAGTACAAAACTATGTGGTATTTATTTTACACATAAATACATAGACTTCCTATTTTTTTTTTTTTTTTTTTTTCTTGTTGGTCTTATATACTCTTTTGTTACTTCAACATCCCTTCTTCATCTCTGCTCATCTTTGACAATTTATTTTAGTTTTCTGAATGCGTCTGAATGCTTTGTTGATTATCTATCTACTTGTCTAGCTGTTGACCTTATCTGCGGTCTCTTGCCTACTATCGAGGCATTCATTTTTGTACAGAGGCTTCCTGATGGATTGCTCATGCCCTGCCTAACTCAATCTCCTTACCTTCATATGGTGAAATATTGATTGACGAGTTTCTGAATGCAGTTCTTATAAAATAATAATATATTTATCCTTGATAATTTTTATTTTTCATAATAAAATCTTCATTTACTAATCATTGTGATATAATGTTGGAGCCTCCAAAAATCTGTCAACAGTAGTTTCTTTCTTCTGCCAATTAGGTCCTTAACTTTAAAAGGCCTTATTCATAGCCTCTTCTCCTGTATTCTGCCTCTTGGCTATCCCTGCTGTAGTTATACTATATTCGGTCTAAGTTTAATCTTCATTTTTTTTTTTTATTAATTTGATCTTCAATTATTATTTCTTAATTTTTTTAAAAATAACTGATTCCTGAGAATCTTGATCATTCTGTTTTATTTAATCTCAAGATTAATGCATGCAATTTACAGCAGTATGCTTAAATATGAGAAAAAATATTCAAAACCGATTTTCCTAGTTTAATTGTCATACTCTTCCCGCTCTGGGTACACCACTGGATAGAATTTGCCGTTAAAGTGTAAATATATTCATAAAATAGGAAGGGGAAAAGTTGATATAATTAAATGAGTATTAAGGCCAGATTATTCATCATTACTTTAATTTAAAAATTACAGGTTTTAATAATTGTATTTTTAAAATACTTTGTATAATTAAAATTTGTTTGTTTTCCTTAAGGAAATAATTAAATTAAATAATTTCTGATTTCCTCCTTGTAGTCTTATGAAATTAAACTTCAGTCAGTGGCATTATTATTTTAATCATAATATTTTTCTGTTTTTTTTTTTTTTTAAATACATGTATAGCAACAATGAATATTCAAATATGTAATTATTTAGTTTGTTGCATTTTTTTGGTTGTTAGGCAACATTTATAAACATTGTTATTATACTGAAATGTTATATTGATTATTATTTGAAGAAAATGGTTCTCAAGTTCTTTCCACCGAACAAGCTACAAAGATATTTCAATATAAAGGTAAACTGTTTTTGGTGTGGTAAAAAGTGTTCCCCAAGAGACTAAAAAAAAACAGATTTATTCCATAATTATAAATTCAATTGAGAGATTGAATGAAATAAGCAGAAATGTATAATGAAATATAAAAAAAAAAAATAATAATAAAAATTTCTTTTTTTAAAAAGAAATGGAAGTTTTAAAGATGAATTATTTTTCCTGTTGAAGGAAGGAGATGGAGCGGTCGAGACTGCTGCGATAGGCAGAGGCGAAGATGACGATCTTACTTCCCTCACTTGGCTCCAAGACAAGAACCTCTTAAAAGGTAGTTTTTATTTAATATTGAAGTTTATTATTATTTTGTATTAATAGTCTTTTATTTTTATTTATCATTTTTTTTTTTTTACCCGTTGGGAAGGAAAATAAGGTAACTTAGTAGAGCATCCTACTATCTCTGGACTGAAAATTAGTAGAAATTTGTCAGGACAGGAACCGAGGATATACAGAAGTTTCCTAGCTGTACTAAACAATAAAATGAGGACAATAATCAGGTGGTTAGGGCACATTAGATTGTTTGCTTAAGAATGTTATATGATAGAAAATCAGGTTCCTATTCAAGTATTAGGAGGCCTTTTATAAGCTGTTATGTTATTAATTAATTTTTTTTAATTATTACAAATATATCTATAGACTTTATTTCCTCCTGTATTTTTTTATCAAAAGTGGATATAAGCAGCTTATTAATTTTACATTTCATTCATCAGCTAATCACATACTTGCAAAATGCTGGTCATAAAATAAACCGACAGTCATCAGTTAATTCTTTTCTTATTATCAGGTACCATTTTTGAAGGTTATTATTATTTTAAATTAAACTCTCATATAATTTGTATAGACTGATCCAAAACACAAGAAATCTAGAGGAAACGCAATAGAACGTACAACAGAGATATAAGTTACCAATATAGACTTACTGAATTAGAAATATTTGGACAAGCAAAAAGTTATTAAGATAAATTTAAACTTACTAATACATACATATGTGTTGAGACTGAATATGACAATAACATATGACTTTAGACTTCTGGATAGCAGAATAATTATGAAGATATTCAAACTTCATATAAAACAGATATTTCTGGAAACAAATAGCCTGTTAATAAATTTTAATAGTTTTTATTATACATTTTACATTAGTTAAATATATTGATTAACTACATTTTTAGATGATTATTATGACTGATTCAATTGTTTTGATTTTAACAAATCTTAAGTACATTGAAACTTGTGGTTTTGAAAAGAATATTTAATTAAATGAAAAAAAGAATTAATATACCTTTAATCACTTTGGCTCATTTCTTATAAGTTTTCAATTTATTTGGTATCCATATTACAGGACCATTTATTATTATTTGATATATGTTCTAGGATTTTACAAGAAATTAGAAAAATTAATATTACAATTATAAAATAACAAGAAAAGTCCTAACATACTTCCAAGACACACTTACCAGATTGCTTCATTTTACATCAATATCTATTAAGTCAATTGATCTTTCAAATTTCTTTAACTAAGTTTACTTGGCACACAATTTTCACTACATATTAAATTCACATTTGAGAATTCAGTTTACATAAAAGATTGCTTTGAATTTCTTAAATGTATGTTGAATTCTAATTACATGAATAAATTTGGCATAGTAATTTTCCTGTTGGGCACCAGGAAGTCTCTTTAACTGTTATCCTATCAAGGTTATGTTATGCATTCTCATTATTAACTATTTACTGAAATTAATACTGAATTGTCTTTATTTTAATTTTTTTAAACCATTTAATGGTAAACAATTATTCGCGGTTAACGGTTTATAACTGTTGTTTAAAAAACAGGTACATCTATTACCATTTTGACAATTACAATCGATATAAATTTCGAAAATATCTAAAATGGATTACTTGAATTGAATCCCAGATCCCATTATTTTACTTCTCATTAAACCTTGCGATGTCTCTTTCGCCTGTAATTACTAGTCCTTTTCGACAAAATATGGTTTTATTATTATCACACTTATGAATTCTGCTGAGTAATTGCTTTGGAATCTCAAAATGGCATGTTCTTTTGATCATGTAATTGTCCATTATGAAGATTGTCGGGCAGAAGCCCTCCCTTCCCCCCCTCCCCCCAAAATGGTAAAATATAACCATGTTTTATAGAAAAAAATATTAAAAACTATCCCTTAAACTATTATTGTTCGTGTAATTACATTTAATAGCACTTCAAGAATCACTAAGACACAATGTCAGTCACGGGCGGATCTACGGGGGGGAAGCCTTTCGGGCTGAAGCCCCTTCCCAAAATGGTAAAATATAACCATGTTTTATGGAAAAATATATTAAAAAATTATCTCTTAAAGTATTATTGTTCATGTAATTACATTTAAAAGGACTTAACACCATTTCATACAGATAGTTAGTCTCTTTCTTTTTTTTCCAAAATAATTATGGCCATTTTTATGAAAAAAAAAAAGCTTTCGGGCTGAAGCCTCCCCCTCCCAAAATTAAATCCTGGATCCGCTAGTGATGTCAGTTAATTTCTTTCTTTCTTTTTTTTCAAATTAATTATCGTTATATTTATGAAAAAAATCCTTCGGGCTGAAGCCCCTCCCCTCAAAAAAATTAAATCCTGGATCCGCTAATGCCTCTGATGTTTACTAAACTAAAAATTAAATGAATAATATTTTGTGTGGTTCTTCATAAAATTTTGAGGCAATTTACTAATTGAATTTCAGTTAAATCGAAAGACACGATGCTACGGCCAAGTTCCTGAACGCAGCGCTGAGCTCATTGATGGTATCGGATCAGTCTCTAAACTAGGAGCAACGGTGCCATTGAGCTCGCCGACGATGAGTTTAGGAGCTCGCCCTACCCATATACTAATCTGTTGAAATGAAATTTAAAAATAATAAAGCTACTAAAAATTGTAGAAATTTTACGCGAATCTTAAACGCGCCACTGCTAAGTAAATACATTTAAAAGAATTTGAAATTATAATTTACTGATGTTTTTATCATTAATTATACTAGGTTTTCAAGGATAGTTTTCCTGCTTGTCAAACTTTCATTATAAACTTTTCATTTCTCTCTCCCTTTCTCTCTCTCTCTCTCTCTCTCTCTCTCTATATATATATATATATATATATATATATATATATATATATATATATACAAGTTAAGTGAATTTTAAGAATATATATATATATATATATTCATAAAAGTTAAGTTCATTTTAAGAATATATAAATGTTCGAAAATTCATTATTTTTGGTAAGTTATTTTAATAAGTATTGGCAAGTTTTCTACCTTTGCGGAATTACCTCTCAATTTCTTGTACAAAATCATAGAAAATTCGTTCTAATAAATCTTTCATATTGTTTAAATTGCCTACCAATTAAATGTCAACGATATTTATATATTTTTGATAAATAGAAGCAGTTTTCACTGGAGTTCTGGAAGTTTCCACTTTTACATTTCATGGTCACAAACTTTCACTCGGGCGATTGGCAGCACTGCTCACAGAGGATACGTGCATATTGTAGCTATTGTGAAGCCCATGATAACAGTTCTAGAACAATTTCCTATTAACAGTAAATATATTTAAAAAGTTATTCATATTCTTAAAATTAAAACAGGCATTATAATTTTAAATATATCCATGCTATTGAATCCATTCGGCAAGTAACACAATTGTATTAAGTATACTTGATTATATCTTATTATTTCAATTTTATTCAAATGTTGAAGTTTTTGTTTTGTAAACAAATTTATGATTGAATATTTATTTTTTTTTTATTCGCCAGAAAACTTGATCATTACTTCTACGTTTCTCCATGCCATAAACAGTAGATGGTCTATTGTTTTATTGTGTTTGTTTACACCGAAGTTAACCTCGTCCGTTGTATTATTTCTCATTCCTGGATCAAAGATAAAAGACATGTTTTAAATACTTAGCATTTTTGCGTTTTAGTCGTTATTTAAAAAAAAAAAAAAAAAAGAACTTTACCAACTTATTTTTATACAGTTTCATCAATAAGGTAATTTTTTGAACGCCATAATAATTTATTTTACTTCAGATCCATTGATGGAATTAATTTTTCATATTTAGTTTTAACAGACTTCATTACCAATTAATGATTATAATTTCTTAATTGCATTAATAGTTATGCTTTAATATTTCAAAATGTAAACAATTTTAAGTGATTCATTTTAAGGCTTGTTTATTGCAGTATTGATTACAATTTTTTTACCAGGCTAGATATAGCCAAAATGAATCATATCAAATTATTGTTTGATTAATCATTTTTATTTAATACTTTAAAATTTGCCTTGAAATGTATTTAGGAAGAATAAAATCAATTATGAGATCAATTTAACATTTTTCAGAAATTTTATTTTACATTAAAAAAAAACTTAGTTTTTCATCTATATTTTAAATTATTTTAGAGGACATTTATTCAGTCTGCTGATTGCTATCTAATGATTTTAATTTCAGATTAAGCTTGAATATTTCTGATTGTTTTCTTAATATTTAAACCAATATACTGATGAAGAGTGAGTTTATGTTGTGGTCCTTTTTAATATAATATTAATAATAAACCAATAATATCAATATTGGTATGTATGAACACTCTTTAAAAAATGAAATATTAAAAATAATTAGTTATTGACCTTAACATCATTTGAAAGATACATTTAAGTATATGATAAAATTATTCATATGGAGAAAAAGGTTTTTATATATTTATATTATAAATAATTTGTTTATATCTGAAAAAATAAATTTTAGTATACTGTTTGAGAAAAGTTTTCTTAAAACAGAAAAAAACTCCCTACTAGTTTACTTTAATAATATGTAAATTTACAAATCTTAGTATGTTATTTTAATTCTAAGTAATAAAATGAAAGATTTAGCATTAGATATTATTCTGTAAAACAGAAGGTGCTTAAAATAATAAAAGAGAAGATTATTATTTTTGAAACCTGATATCTAGTAACCTCAGTAGCTGATAGTAAAATATTTTATTTTCCTCAAAAAGCCAGAATATTTCTTCAGTTATTAACATTCAGAGCACATTAACTAGGAATCATGGTATGTCAGTAGCATAACTACAAAGTGAGAGAATATAACTACATTTAAAATGTATTAACAGTCTATTTAAAATAGATATTAAAACATGCAGAAAGCTAAAAAAGAAGGTGGACAAGAGATCTCTTAGTTATAAAAACAAATCTTAACTTCAATACTAGAGCTAACTTTGTGCATCTATTTTTCCTAATCTGAGAAGGAGTTAGTCGAGGGTGCGGTCAAATAAAGTTGACATAGCTAAGAAAATGTTTGGCTTATATCACCATAATTATTATAATTATAAACTTCTCCATTGGACATTTAGAGTCTAGGGTATTTTCTTTTTCTATTTAGTACTTTAAAATTGAAAAAATATTCAGTTATGCAGGTATAATCTCTATTTAAAAAAAACAAACCTTTTTTTCTAAATTTCACTAGTGATGTAAATCCCTTACTTCAATTGTTTTAGTACCTCAGAAAAATTCTAAATTTTTTTTAACCATAAAGATAAGACAAGATAATATAATTGTTCAACATACTCTTAGCAAAGCTATTAGTAGAGAGGTATGAAACACACTGATCTCAAGAGCACTATAGAAACAACAATGATAGGAATTTTAATATTTTCTTTTGGGAACTTTATTCATACAGTTGTCAATAGAGGGCAGTGTTCTTCAATCTAGAAAAAAATGGAACCTTTAAATGAACAAGTAAGCTTATTATATACATTTAAAGTCCAATCTGTCCATAACTGGTGTGTTCCCCCTAACTCTTCCCCAGTATTTCTAAATCAAATAATTAAGATATAAAAAAAAATTAAAATATAGCTGTAAATATTTTGATTTTTTTTTTAAATTTATTATAGAAAAGTCATTTAGTAACATTTTACGAAATTAAATCACTAAGTAACTTATGAATTTTACCTCCAAAGATTTTATTTTGGAAAAAAATATAGGATTTTGTTGTTTTGAAGCATTTAATGAGTGTTTGCTTTAATATACATATATATATATTGTAAGGTTACGTTTCCATTGAAAAATAAACAAACAGTTTCTTAACCAAAATATATTTATTTCACACAATTATTTTAAATTATTATAAATACAAATTATTTCTCAGATTGGGTTGAGACAATAAACACACATTCCTCAATTATATAATATAAAAGCATACATTAATTTTATATACAGCATTTATGAATTTCCATTCAATTGAGGTCTACTCTTGGCGCTTTCTACCTGTCATGATTTATTTTGCTCTTGCCTTGTTTTGAAGTGAATCTTCCTCTGTATTATTGCTGAAGGTATTACTGTGTTAAACTTCTACAAATGGCTTCTTGATACTTACATTTTCATGTCGTCGTCTAACTATTCACTGCTTGCCTATCAGTCACTCTCTGTTGGTCTCGATGGTCTTTCCTCGCCAGGTGGTTACCTACTGTTTTCAACATAATGCGTCGCTCCAACTTCCTTCTGTCTTCCTCCGCCTCTTTGTCCATTCCTTGATACTAGATCGTGACGTCACTATGTAATTTGTACATTACAATAAATATATGTTTTATTAACTATGTCAGATTTTTACTTTGGTTTAACAAGTTATACCTTTTTTCCAGGTATAAACCTGCGTACAAACGGAGCTGGAGGTAAGGAGGAATCTCCGACTTCCGACTATGCTGAGGAATGCCCCAGCGAACAAGGAGAATCAACGTGCTCAAGTGTTACTTCGTCCAGTCCCTTACCCCCACCTGCCAAAAACAGGCATCCCCATCACATACCATATGATCCCAAGGTATCTACTTCATTTATACTTTTTCCTTAATACAATGAAATTGATTTACCAAAAGTAAAATTTTATTTACTTGGAGGATACCCTCTGTCTGCCTAAAAGCAGAACAACCACCATTTTACAAATACAACTGTTCATTTAATGTTACCAATTTGAACCTTTTATTTCTAATATTTTCATTGTATGTTATATTGTGCTTCTTTTTCTATTTCATAATAATTATAATTATATTACAATATAATATAAATAATATTATATATAATATAATAATTAATATATTGTATTCAAGAGGAAAATGTCTAGATCAAAAAATAACTGTTGTCACCTAGGTGAAATCAAATTACCACCTCCAGGTGAATACCATTTTCTGTACAAATGTTTGGTTTAAAATCTTGATTTTTGTATTATTAGAGTAGGAGGTTAAAGGGGCTCAATACTGTAATGAAGACACCAGGGTGTAATTTTTTAGTTATTCGCAAATAAAGTTTCTTTTTCTTCGTAACTATTTTTTCTTAAATTTCGGGAGTATGTGACTATTTTTCCCACCTGAAGGTGAAGAAGATCTTTAAAATGAGGGCTCAATCATTGGATTTGATGAAGAATTGACGAAGTTATGGCGTTGCGACAAAAAAAACACCTTTTAGAAATAATATATAAGATAGAAGAGCTGTGCTGAGATAGTCGTCATAGCAACGACTTCACTTTTCATTATGATGTTTTGCCTGGCGTTAACTAAAACATCCATAACTCCTCAGGATTTTATCCTAATTCAATGTTTTGTTGGAAAGCTGAATCATTGCTCTTCAAAACAGTATAGATAATTTTTCTATTTAACACATCCACAAAGAATAAATAAATAAAAACTCCTAACAGGTTTTTATTTTATAACTTCAGTTCTAAATTATTTAGGGAGGTGCATTTTGTGTAGTTTATAAGGCCCTATATTCCTGCTAAATTTCATGTAGATAGGTGGAAGGATATTGAGGTTATCACACTTTTTGTGATTTTCAAAAAGAAATCCAGGAGGGGTGCCTTGATTCCAATTCGCATAAATCTCTATTTTGTATTAGGAGAATAGAAGGTTACAGAAGCTTAATACATTAAATTAAAACGCTGTACAATTAGTGCTAATTATAGAACAAATAGGAGAGCTCCAGTAATCTCCTACTCTTCTAATACTAAAATAAAATATGAAATTCACTAAATACTTTTTTATATAATAGAATTTTGACCATTGCCATGGTCAGATTTTGATTAATGACAGATTTTCATCACACTATTAAAAAACTTCTAATACCAGTATTTACTTTTCTGTAAATACATTTTCATGCATTCATTTTTTTTAGTTTAAAATTATGTCAAATTCTCTTTAAAATATTCAGTTTTTTATTTTAAAATGTAACGTTAAGAAGTAATATAATAATTGTGGGTTGATGGTTGACTGCACTAGCCGATTCAGGATTTAATTTTGGGAGGGGAGGAGGTTTCAGCCCGGAAGCTTTTTTTTTCATATATATAACGATAATTACTTTGGAAAAACAGAAAGATACCAACTACCTATATGAAACGGTGTTTAAGTGATTCTTGAAGTCCTATTAAATGTAATTAAACAAGCATTAATACTTTAAGACATAATTTTTTAATATTTTTTACCATAAAACATGGTTACATTTTACCATTTTGGGGGGGGTTCAGCCTTCCCCCTCCCCCGACCATAAATCCTCCTGTGGTTGACTGTAGTGAATAATTTAAGAGAAGCATGGTTGGGGTGATCAGTCAAAATAAAAAATGGCAAAAATAAATAATTACTGTTTAATTACTGATAATAATTACTATTTGGCTAATGTAAAAATAAATAATATTATTTATTTTTGCCATTTTTTATTTTGACTGATCACCTCAACCATCCTTCTCTTCAAGTAATACAATATTTAGATTACTAACTTAATCATTAACGCTTTGACCTTGGCTAAAAACTTAGAGAGATTTGTTCCAGAAAGTTCATATAAAAATTAAAAGAAATATATTATTTTACATTTAATCAAGTAATTCAATATTTTCCTACAAAATATCCACTTTGAGATACCTCACTCTTGCACCATCTCCTATTTCACTGTCTGGAAGTTATTTTTTTGTTTTTTTTGTTAGATTCCTTAGCTGCCTTGTCGTTTGTTTTGTCGGCATCCATGTCGTGTAAATGTCTGAAGAATTCGAGAAATGAGAAAAGGTTACAGGATACCATATCCGGTAAATGAAGGGGTTGTTCCATGAAGATAATCAATATAAGGCTAAAAATTGTATTACAATTAGCAAAAAAAAAGCTATTATCGTAATCTATCACAACCATAAGACCAAATTTGATCACATCTTAGCCACATAGGATATACTTTTAGGAATCCGAGGGTATGCTTAGAACTAGAATATTTCATCAAAAAAGAATACTTTTATGAAACTCAATGAAAAAGGATTCCTTTCATCCAATTTGATATTTGTTCTTCTCTTAAACACTGGTGGGAAAATGCATTAAAGTGTCTATTGAGCATTGAGTAAGTAAAGGAGATATCAGGACTGTTTCAACTTACAATAACGTTATTGTTTCATAGAATCGTTTCTCCGGTCAAATTGGCTGGAAGGATTTATTTTTGATCGAGTTTAATAAAAGTATTTTTTATGATGGAGGGTTCTATTGGAGTTAAAGGAACCAACTATGCATACCACCCTGAGAATTTTAATATGGAAGTTTCCATTAACAGTTTACCCTGGAATGAGGGATTCTCGTTGGTAATGCATTTCTGAAATTTTCTTTACGTTTGACCTCGAATTCTTTGTTTTTTTTCTTCTTGGAACCCCAGTCTGTTTCCTTTTCCTGCTTTGAAGTAGATTGCGCTACAGTTTTTATCTAGTTTCGCAAGAACTTTGATATTGGCTCACCACTCTTTAACAAGGAAAAGCTCCATGCTAACGGAATATGAAAAATAGGCAAGTTTTCAATTCTTGAAACCCAATCGACTTTAGAAGCACAGCTAATTGATATTTTGAAGGGGATGTTATCGAATTACCTCATCGAGTTTTTTTTTTTTTTTTTCTTTTTTTACGTTTTTATGTGAACTTTAAAAAGACTTGTATTTATAACAGCTAGTTGGTACATGAGAATAATTTGCAAAGTATACTGGTCAGTGAACAAATGAAAAAATAATAAGGGGTCAAAATGATGCAAAGTATAATAGGATGGAAGAACCAATTCTTATTGGCTCGGTAATTATAATCAATCAATATAAATAGAAAATCAATTTAAACCATCAGGTTTTAAATCAACATGTTCTCAAATTTAAAAAAAAATCTGGTGGCCGCACCACACGACTTTCACTTACCACCCTTTTCTTCGCAAAAATAATTATTTACAGACCAAGAGGAAGTAAAAGTAAAAATTATAGACACTATATTTATTTATATTCCATTGTGAGTATTTTTATTTGTTTAAATACCCTTAAATATACAAAAATAATTTTTATACGCTGTATTCTATACAATTAAATATTAAATAATACCAATGATAGCATTTATGAAAAATGCATATGTATATGTACCTAATATTGTCAGAGTCCGTACTATATTAAGCTCATGTTATGTATGGAAATCTGTCCTAATCTTTAAGGTGAGCTCGGGCACCCTCATATTCCTTTGGTTTCTGCTTTGCAACTATTATCCGTTATAATCTCTTATTTCTCCTGTAGTTAATTATCAAATTCTTTCATATTTTATAATGTATCTATTTTTTATATCAAAGATTAATGTGAAATGCTTAATTATTTAAAATTAAAGGTACTTTAGAGGAAGCTAATATTGAAAATTAGCCATTTAAGCTCTGTTAGAGAACATTGTTTTTAAGCTGTACTGGACATACACACAGACATCAAAACATGTTTTTCTTTTGAGAACTCAGATTAAAAATTGTTCGCGATTGCAATACTGTCCTTTACTATATATTTCATATATAGGTAAGTGAAAGTAATAAGCTGTATCTTTGCTAATATTTATCCGATTTAGATTTTTTTTTTTTTTTTTTGATGAATTTAGTACCCTTTCATAGGTGCTATCAACCATTAAATGTATACTTTTCGAGTTATACAAAAATAAAGTTTCTTCTCCTTTATAATTTTTTAGTCTGAAACTTCAGGGTGATGTGACTATTTTTCCCACCTGGAGGAGAAGTAAATCTTCAAAATGATGGTTCAATCATTGGATTTAATGAAGAATTAAGAAAGACCGACATAAAAAAAAGTCTTTGAGAAATAATATGAACTCCTCTTTCGTTCATAGGTATCTAGTTGATAACATGAATTATGGATCCCACGGTAGCACTATAATTAAAGTAAGCTTGTGTGGCTGCGAACCGTTTATCTTGCATTATTTTGAAAGTGGTTCATGTTTAGGCTTTAAAATACAAGCCCGGCAGTTCCGAAGGAACTTAATGGATCTTTATTTCGGCATCAAAATCTTCGAATGCCTATTTGTCCCATTATTGAAGCCTTTCGAAATTGTAAATAACCAACAGGAAGTTAAATGTAAAATAATTATGTTTTGGCGGGAATAGGCGCATAGCCTTCCGCTTTTATATTGGGGTTTAAGGTTATTTACACTCGTGAATCTTTAAAACAAAACCCCGGCACTGGATATAGACTTTTTGAGGGTGTTTAACTGTGATTAGGAATTCGGGGATCTATTACCTTTTATGACACTGTGTGAGAAGAAACAATCAGAATATATATATGAAATGTGGGACTTAGTAAACACTTTGAATGAATTGACTCACCTGGTTTATTCTTCAATTGTTAGGCCTATAGGACAACTAAATAAAATGACTATTCACTCCTGTCTAACAAAACAAATTTATTTTAACAATTGATATTAAATGAATATATATAAGTGAACGGTCGGCTTGATAATCTTGGTCTTCAATGTAGTAAGCCTCTCTTCCCAGATGACGTCTTCTTGTGTTGGTGTCCAGGCCTTAAGTGTTTGGCGTCGTCCTCGCCATCTGTTGCCAGCTACCTGATCGGACCTTTTCTTCTTTTCGATTCTTTATCGATGTGAGATTTTCCAATGAGCAATTTGTCCACTGCACAATTGAGAACAATTCACAGTGCTACCTCACATTCCTATATATTATATATACCTTCTCATTCCCTCACACATTGTCATCTAAAGGAGTAAATACAGGGGGATGTCTACTACAAAATGTTTATATCGAATTTATTTATTTTAGAAAGAAAAACAAAAATGGAGAGTATGATTCGCTAAACCGCCATGAAATTTTGAATCCAACGCTACCCCATTCATGGCATTTGAGTATGACAGGAGCTTATGTTTGGTTTCGAGCCTTAGTGAAATAATATGTGTGAGGATGTTCTTGATTTTTAATCATAATAATTTATTTATTAATTTTATTATAGCTTTATCTGTTTTGTTTCAGATCCATGTTACTTCCAAGCCCCCTTATTCATTCTCGTGCCTCATCTTCATGTCGATCGAAGACTCCAAAGGAAAGGCGTTGCCGGTCAAGGAGATCTACACATGGATCTTGGATCACTTCCCTTACTACCGTAACGCACCCACGGGTTGGAAAAACAGCGTCAGGCACAACCTATCGCTCAACAAGTGCTTCCGCAAGGTGGACAAGGCACCTGTGAGTGGAAAATATTATCTTTTGTCAACTTTCAAACTTGCTAAGACTTTATTTTCTATTTTGGGTGAAAATTGGATTTTTGGTATGCTATTATTATTTTTTTTCAAAAACATTTCTTTTATATCCTGCTTCATGGATAATAATAATAATATTGTCTTCTCTATTAATCTGTTATAATGAAAATTTATTATTAATTCCTTTGATACTTAAAATAAATATTTTTAACTTTAAAAGTCCAAAATATTAATACAATAATTTTTTAAGTAAAACGTCAGCGAAAACATTTGTAATTGGTTATTTTGAAATTTATTTATCGTTTGTTTATTAAAAATTTTACAATCTAATACAATTTGGGTAATGATTACCATTTAGGTGTGAATTTATAAATGATTTTATTCTGGGACGAAGTCCTTTCAGAATAACAAAAAAGTATAGAAATTTAAATTTTATATCTGGCCAGGTAAAAACAAACGTAAAAAGTTAAGATAAAAATAAATCAGTAAAAAAAAAAAGAAAAAAAAAATATTCGTTGTACATACTATATAGAAATAGAAATAGAAAAATCATCTTTATTCTGGGACTAGGTCCCTTTAGAATAACAGTATTGTTCATATATATTAACTATAAATCTGGTCAAAAGACTTATTACAATGAATAATAACAAAATACATGTAATACATTAAGTATTAATTAAGCTCTTAGGATAAATTAACGAGGACAGTTGGTAATAGGGGTTCAGTACTACAATATTGGAGCTAAAATAATTGCATAATAATCACTGAATGAAATTAGAAAGGAAAGTAAAATCTATTTTATAGGTAAAGCATTGTAGTGGTGGTTCATCAAGCATTGTATAGTGAAATATACAAAATAAGATAAAAAATCTATATACAAAACTCTTGAAACCATACTAAGATATTTAAAACTATGTACAATGTTAAAATATAAATAAACCCTTTTAGAAAAAATAAAAAATACAGAAAAAATAAATGTAAATTCTTCTTAACAGTAAAATCTGTTTTTGTTGGAAAAAAAAAAAAAAAGAAAGTCGAATCTATAATAAGTATTTAGGTTATGAGCTATATGTGAATATGTTATTATAAATAATATGTAATTTTACCTAAAAGGTTAGCTGGTATCTGACTGTTTTTGGGACAGGAATTGGAATAGGAGGGTTTTGAATGTAGATAAGGATGAAGAATGTCAAATTTTGATAGGAAGGGAATTCCAGAAACTAACTGAACGAGCAATAAAGGAGTTTTGGAACGAGGCAGATCTGTGAGAAGGAATGTAAAGGTCGGAAAGTCGAGATCTTGTGGAGAGGGAGTGGACTGAGGACTTGAATTGGAGAAGGTTGTAGGCTTAGGAAGGACGATGATTGTTGATGATATGATAGAGGAATGTACCTAGAAAATATTGTCTTCGAATGAAGGGGAAGAGCCACTCTAACTCAGTGTAGTGATGAGAGACATGATAGTATCACGAACACCAATTACAAATCTCACGCAACTGTTCATTAAATTTAGGTGTGAATTTATAAATGATGGTAACTCTGTTGCTCAAGGCCAAGTTTAACGATCATTTAAAATAAAACAGCGAAGTGGAGGGCTTGGGTTGGAGTGAAGAAGATTTTAACAACATCGGTTAGGGGAGCGAGGTAGCTCAATGAATTAGGTACTGCGCTCTAATGCTCCAGGTCCTGGGTGTGATTCCGGCTGTGACAGGTAATTATTTATTCTGTTACATCAGCCATGAATTAACTCTGGGTTTGGTAGATCCTCTTGGGGCACACTCAGCTTTTGTAAAGTTGGTTCTCTTTATTAAAGAATTGATTAAGAAGAAAAATCTGACAGTTGAGCGTGATCTCGGTCAAATCACCTCCTAGTACAATAATTGACCAAGAAACAGAACTTTCTTGAGTACTGAACCCAAGACTCTTTGTGGATTGTAGTGGTACAGTTTTTTTGTTTGTTTTTTTCATTCAATGAACGATCACTCCACTCCATCATTCCATTTTTTACAACAAGCGATATCAAGAACAATAAATAATTTAATCTCTCCACAACCTTAAAATAAATAAATAAACTAAAACATACAAGTAGAAATTTCAAGTATATTATAAATTAGAAATCCATTTAAAAAAAAAAAATGTTTGCTCTTAATTAAGATTTATATGTTTGACAGAATAAATACTACAAAATAAGTGAAATTATGGGTTATTTATATTTGTACCTTTGTATAATACTTTATACAACTGATCAGTTGTATTCCAAAAATTGCATTCAGGATTACCCACTCATCATTACACGTTTCGATTTGTGTAGAGCAATCATCAGTGGCTTCCTTTACATTAAAACTATGAGTTCTTCTTTTTTTCTTCTTGCTGGGAAGTTGTATGATATTCTCTATTTTTGGCAATAATAACTTGCAATTAAGCAACAGTCGATTTATTTGTTGTATTTACATGTTTACATTTCGGGAAATTTACTCCCATCTTCAGAACTACAATCCCATGTTTCTTTATCGATTTATGGCTAAAAATGAGTTAAATAAAAATAATGCATATTAGAATTGGGTTGTTACATTACATTTGTAATTAACTTAAGGCTAATGTGCTCCATTGTCATGTTCTAAATTCATGTTGTAACAAATTATAGCATATAACATCAAGAGCATCATCATGCCTTCAGACCAATCATTGTATGTCTGCTATGGTGAATACAATGGACCTTTCGATATGGCTATTTATTTTTTTACTATTGTCGTTAAATGATTATTTTTTACGTAGCTGCAATTTCATTTTTACTAAATTTTAATTTTGTTTTATATATCAGCATAATGTGTCCCCAAATGTCTATTGTTTTTTGTGATGTGTGTGGCATCAAGTAATTTTCTATTGTTGTTTTTTGGTTCTGTGTCTAATATCTGTGGTTTATTGAAGTTGGATCTGTGTTGTAATTTTATGCTGTGATGTGCTAAAGGAAAAAAAAAAAAAAAAAATGGCTAAGGAAAAAAATAGCTATACTCTATAAAAAAGATTATGAAGATGGTAAAATAAGGAACTATTGAGTGACAAAAACACTTACAGGAAAATAAGGAACAATCCGATACCTGAAGTAACTAGTAAAATCAATGCATATGTAAATAAATTCCATAAACTAGGATATATAGATAAACTAGGATACATGCATTACTTTTATTTAACTCATTTTTAGCCATGAATCGATAAGGAAACATGGGATTGTTGTTCTGAAGATGGGAGTAAATTGCCCGAAACGTAAACTTGTAAATACAAGAAATAAATTAATTGTTATTTAATTGGAAGTTATTATTGCCAAAAACAGATATTGAAACTATGATATGACAAGGAGAAATAATCAGGATTTGCGGTCTAGATTTGTTTTATTCAGATTGCCAACATTTCGACCCAAGTATGTAGGTCATCATCGGGATTGAAAATTAAATATTACATCAGAAAAATAAGATAAGATATGAACCAGAAGTACATAATATAAGCCTATGAAAGCGTATAATCATATTCCATGTATAAATAAATATATTAAGTACAAATTTAATTGAATCGGTTAGTCCAGAAATGATACATTAGATATTTTTGTGATTTTAAGGAAAACGAAAAAAAAATCTGGTGTGTTCACTCACACGACTTTCCTACATATTTCAGAAAAGTTTTTATATCTTTACATATGTCCATGAAGAAACCAAAAAAAAAATTGAATTAGATTTATTTTCCCAAAAATTGATCAAAGAAAAGATTTGAGAACGATTTATTTGATAAACTAAAGCATTGTAAACTGGTGTAAAATTTTCAATACTCTCTAATATTGCTGATCAAAAACTTTTTGCCATAACTTAATTTTGTCAAACAATAATTTCTGTTAAAAGTAGAGGAAATAGTGAAGCTTGTGTAACAGATTTTCTTACTTTCACTTAGTCATCTTTTTTCTCTCATTCACCCCTTTCTGAAATCCAAATATTATCCACTTACAATTAGTGTGACAAATTTTGACCAAACTATGGCGGACATTAAAAATTTCGTAATTTTATTTTAGTAAATTTTACATTGGAAAATAACAGTTTAATAACTAATACGCGTACAATCCATAATAATTTATATGTTAAATATTTAGATGTACTTTCAAATCTCTCCAAGCATATATATATATATAGCTCAGAGACTGAAGTTATTAAAAAATAGATGGAGTAATGAGGTTTTTTATTGCCTACCGTTTATATAATAAACAGGATTTTTATTACTTTAATGGTTTGTCAGCTGTAAGCTTTAAGCTTTTTAGCTCCATTAAAAATGTACTTCAAAAATTGTATAATAACCCAACGTTAACAAAAAATAATTTCTATTCAAAGTAGAGCGATAAGTGAAAGTTGTGTGCGGTGCGATATAATAAATAGGATTTTTATTATTTTAATGGTTTGTTAACTGTAAGTTTTAAGTTTTAGCTCCGTTAAAAATTCACTTCAAAAATTTTATAATAGCCCGACATTAACAAAAAGTAATTTCTATTCATAGTAGAGTGGTAAGTGAAAGTTGTGTGTGGTGCGCGCCAGATTTTTTTTTATAATGTTGGTTTTTTAATTAAAACTGGAATAGAAAATATAGTTCTTCACGCTTCCTAAAAGATTTTTTGTAATGATGAGGTTTCACTTTGGAAATTTTTCGTTCATATCAATATCATTCAATTACTGAAGTTCATTTATTTTTTTTTCTTCTGAAGATGTTTAGTTAAAATATATTTTCTATAAAAGAAAAAAAAAACTTTAGTTATATTTTAAACAAATTTGTTTATCTTATTTGATATAATTCAATCAAAGATGAATGTTATCTTGAAATAGGCTTATAACATTATCTGTGGGTATTGTCAATAGATTTGGACTGTTAGGTTAGGTTATGTTGAATTGAAGTCAGGCAGAACAATTCTGTCTTTGAGGCCTTTTCCATTTAAGAAGCGATGAGAAAATAAAATTAATAAAAAGAAAAAATGGGAGAAAGCAGTAAAAAGGTATTTATTATTATTTTAAAAATATCTTTTGATATTATTTAAAAGAATAAATATAATGTAAGAAATTTTAATTGATTTAGGCTATATTTCATGAATTAGAAAAAAAATTAAAATAAAAACATATGATTTTATTTCAAATTCATATATTTTTATTTTAATAAGTCATATTTTTAATAATAAAATTTAATAAATTATATTAAAACATTTAAACTGTTTTTCTTTAAGCATGAATATTTTTTTTTTTTATTCGCCTTATTCTGGACCAAGAATAGCTTCATTGTTGTCGAATTGAAACAAAAACAAACAAAAAAAAAATTGTTTCAAAACTAACCTAAACCCAGCCATGAATATGTTCCTAAGTTCATGTTTCAGGTATTATTTTAAAAGTAAAATCTGAAAATGAATGACAGAGTAAGCAATTACTTTTTTAACTTTTTTTTATTTCATCAAACTCAGTTATTATAGATATTTAATTTAATTTACAATATCTTTGTTATTCACTAAGATTTTAGTGATGTCCTGTTTTTAATTTCATTATTTAAGTAAAATTTACTTTAATTATATCTGTTTTGTTAATTTTTCTAGTATTTTTACTCTTACAAATTTTAATAGTGACTAAATGAATAACCTACCACAAGGTTACTTTTTAATTAATTATTATATGCCTGATTTATACATGTTTTATATCAAACAGGATCTGCTGATCTTATAAAATTTAGTTCTCTAATTTTAAAATTGCCTCTAAAAATTATATATTTGAATAATAAATACATCTACTTTATTCAGTTGTAATATAATTTTAACTCATGTCTCTATAATATAATATAAATAAAATGTCTCATATAAAATTCAATGATCTTGATTATGATTTTTTATGAGTCATTTTATTGCAAGTTATTTAACTCTTATTTTCATTGAATCATTATTTTTGTATGGTATGGAAATGATCGATCGGAGTTATTCTAATTAAGGAATATTTAGTCGGAATTGTGCGGTTAACAATCACACTCTATTTTTGTGTGATATTTATCTCTCAAAACTAAAGATAAATTTCGATCAATTTAAAAATATTTGTATACTACGTGTATGTTTTGAGTTTCTCCGCTTATCTTTTTAGAATAATCTTATCTACAGATAAAAGTACCACCGAAATAATGTGAAAGTAAGATCATTGATTAAGATGTCTTCTGTATCTTTCTTCAATGACTCAGTCAAAGGTCTTAGATATCAGTATTACTATTTAAATATCCAAAGGGATTTGTTTGCTTGTCTAATTTAATCTAACGATTGTCTTAAGCAGGATAGTTGGGTGCATGTTTAATTTGAATTATTATTTTTTTTTTAAGAGAGAAAGTAAACTTGTTATTTTTCAGTGGTTACAATAATGGTTGCATTATCAATTTTATTATTTCCTAACTTTTTCTATGTTGGCTTTAATTAGGTTGTATATCTTTGGCCGCCTAAACTATCTTTCTCCTATCTTGGGATATTGATTTCCAGTCTTCTGCAAACAGTTCTGAAAGATCTTTATTGATTCTATCTACTCATCTGGTTCTTGGCCTCCTACATGTTCTCTTGCCAACTATTGAGGTAGTTGTGTACAGGCTTCCTGATGGATTATATCGAGCTACTTGTCCCCTGCCCATCTTTAGCCTCTTGCCTTCATATCAAGAGATGTTGTTTGGCCGATTTCTGATCTCAGGATCACTTGACCCTCTGGTTATCTGCTATATCCGGTTAGATATTACTCTCAAATCTATCAATATTTCTTACTATGGTCCTGGTTATTGTACATATCTTAAAGCCTTATATCAGAACTGGCTTTATCATAGCATTTTGTAAACAGCAGTATTTGAATCTGTCTATCTTGAGAACGATTTTCCTTCCGCACAGATTCTGTAGTAGGGATGAATTTCTCGGCTTACCATCTTATTTTTTTTAACCTTTGTTTATTTATTTATTATTGTAGGCTGATACGATCTGCTTTTCTTATCAGAGTTTTGCCGAGTCTGTTAATATATTCTTTATATATCATGTATATATCCTAAGATTTTACGCTTCATTCTGATGTGTACTCGATTCTCCGATGATGTTCTTATTACTTCCTCCAGTGCTAAGTTGAACAGTATCGATTAGAATACATCTTTCTTAATATTATAATAGATTAGCCTTTGCTAATAATCATTATTTATTGTATTTTTCAACTGATTAGGTTCAGTTCAATCCAAATATAAAAATATATATATTTGAAGAAAAACCTGATTCTATGGAGTGCAATAACTTGTAGAATGAGATACCTTTATACGTGTTAGAATGTTCTTTATGGTCTGTTGGTATGACTGGTTTTATTTCCAACTTTTTTTTTTTTAAACATCCAGAGAAAATTTTTTTTTATCAAATCTGGTCTAAGCCAATGTTCTCCATATTAGACTTTAGAAGTACAAAAATTTATTACAAACTGATAAATAAAAAATACCTGTTTCAGAACCTTGGTAAAGGCTCACTTTGGATGGTCGACCCCGTCTTCCGACCGAACCTGGTGCAGGCTCTAATGAAAGCACCATACCATCCTTACACAAATCTGGACCGCAATAACTCAGCGCCACACTTCACTCGCAGGTAAGGAAAACAAGTTAGTTTGGAAATCATAATTACCTTTTTTCGAAGATAGCTTGATAGTAAAAGGCTTAGCGAACCGAAAGGTTCAATGCTGATACTACCAATAACACAATTTCCTTCATCAGCTGCTGTCTAAATCCAACCTCGCCTAATCAGCCTAAAAGCAATCTTCCCATAGTTGCTTCAGTCTGGCCCTCATATTGACTTTTTAGGGGTACTTTCATTTCTAAGCCCAGCTATTTCAGTTGTATAATTGTAATCACCTCAATTACATTAACTATAGGTACCACATAATTTGCCATTGCGTAACAATCTAAATTCTCTCGTAGACTCATCCTTCTTCGGTTTGAAAATATGGCATACTGACAAAAAAACACCTTTGAGAAAGAGATCTTGGTTATTCACACCAGTGAATTTTAATTTTAAAATAATCTCCCAGCTCTGGATAAAGTATTGAGGGTGTTTTTATTGCTATTGGGAATTCGGAAACCTAATTCTTTTGTGACATTAAGTGGTAAGAAATTATAAGTAGGGGAAATACGTGTACCTTGGGTCACTTTTTTGCAATGCTCCATAATTTCTAAAATAACAATTAATTTTAAAAGTTCAAAATGGAATTTTATTTTTCATGATTTAAAGATATGTAAATTTTTAAAAATAATGAATGACCCAAATTACTATAGTCGCACCTTGGGCAACTACTTACACCTTGTGCTATGAATTGTATCTTACGAAATTTTGTTGTAATTTTTTTTTTTGGTTGGCGCTATAGACCTTGAAGATCTTTAACCGCGAGATGTGGTCTCCTAGACCACATCCTGATTTCCGATTTAAGTACACGTGGTTAGGTCATCAGTCCTACGCCCAGTCGGTGTGAGTTGCCTCACCTGCTTGTCGATCATGAATTGTCAGATGTTGAGATTTATAGGACAACCAAATAAAATGGAACATCCATTTCTGGATAACAAAGTAATTTATTGTATGCATATTGTTCTTCAATTTCATTCAACAACAGGCCTCAACACTTTTCACAAAACATAACAACCTATCCACTGCACAATTGAGTCCAATTCATAATGCACTCATTCCATCATTATATATTCTTATCCTTCCCTCACTCACTTGAAAGAGTAGGTAGAGGTCATTTACTATACATTGCTGACCAATATACTAATATCGTTTATGAACAGACCAACTATTATTCACTAATATTTATTTTTTATTATCTCTTTTAGGAGTGAAAGCAGTGGTAGTGAATGCGAAGAAGACGACATAGCACCCGACGATGTCGACGCGGCGGCCGCGATGCTTGTCCTCAAGCACGGACCTCAGGCCAAGTTCCACATTTCTAGAGGTTTGTTGAGATTTTAAATATAAATTATTAGACCAGATAAAATATTCAAGTTGGAACTTAATTTTCAAAGAGATTTGTCAAAAAATTAAAAAAGTAATGTTATCAGGAGTATTATAAACTAGATCCGTCCAAAAAAATTTTTTTTTCCTTTTAAGATAGATGTACCAATAATGGACACTAGTAGTAATCAACAGTTTAAAAACTCATTAAAAGATGTAGTGCATCTAAGATAAGTTTGTGTGTAGTGGAAGGGAACTCGTGCAGCTTTCTCCCAAGCTGTTTTCATGAATTTTATATACGTTCAAAATTACATTTTTTATCTGAGAGTGGATAGTTTTCTCTCTATCCAGTTTACTTGATATAGTAAACAAAAATTGATAAAAATAATGAAAAGACATTTCTACTTGTAAAAAAAATTCTAGAAGTACATATAAAAGAGTAGGGGATTGGCAGGAAAATGTATTGCCATTGCGCATCTCTCTCCCTCTCTACATCCCCGAAAACTTATCTTAGATGGAGTCTGTCTAGCAAGGTTTACTCGCCCAGAAGAGATTGCAAATATGAATAGATTTTTTATTCATTCATCTGTAGTTAGCCATTTCCTAGTTTAAAACTGTAGAGAATTCATTTTGGTTTTTTTTAATTACATAAAAAAAAATCTATTGACACCAAAACAGGATTTTCTATTACTGGTGCAATATACACTTTCAGAATTTCCAAAGTTTTTGATGAATAATTAACTAATTGACTGTATAGAAACAAAAATTGATAAAATGCTAAATTTGCTATAAATTAAACCCATTTGCAAAGATTTACTGTCAGAAGTGAAGATGCTGTGTTTTACAGTAATAGTGAAAATTTCTCTTGAAGTGTCTATTACCGGTACATTTACCTTACCTTCTAACTGGCTATTTCTGGAAAACGATAGGATTATTCTGCATGTATAACCAACAATCATTCCGTGGGTCTTTTATTTTGAGATGTAGTAGGTCTATGTATTTTTTAAAAATTGTTTATCACCTGTATTGGGCAATTTGCCTGTTGATAGAAATATGTAAATAAAAAAGTATTACTATAACAAAATGAGGAATAAAAAATGATAAAACCTACTGGCTGGCCTGTAAATTTATAACATGAGGAGACATACATGTTTGCTTACGTTTAAATATTTCTTCACTTTCTTTTTAAACAGATGACTATCAAAGGAGGAATAGGCAGTCGAATATGAAGATGGGAAGGCACAGCAGAGCCGTTTCTCGCAAAGTGAGTCAGATTTAAATACATTTAATTGCTTTTACATTTATCCTACTGTTCCTGTTTCAAGTGCTCGTTTTTTATGTTTAAACTGATGTTTTATTTAAAATGGTGCAATAACTTCATCTTACACTAAAATTGAGATATTATTGATGAAACCTAATTTTCTTTATTTATTAAGACTTTTTTCTTGTTTCCATTCTTGTTAAACGATCAAACATTAAAAGATTTTTCGTTGTATTTTCATTAATAATTATAATTTATCTGGAATGCCTTGATCTAATTTCCAATATTGAATTAAGTTTAAGATTTTGAAATTTTTCTAAATGAAGTTGTGTATATATCGTAGGAAGAAGAATACCCCGGAAGACAGGCCGACGACCACACATATTCAAGTATGGAATCTGCCGTTGAACCAGACGAAGCATTTATGGATGGTTCTGACTCTAATTCTACGTAAGTTAGCTTAAATTATTTTTCCTTAATATTTTAGTATTTTTCATGAAAAAAAAATATTAAACATTCGTAACAACTTTAAAATTTTCGATTTATCAGTTTTTTTTTAAACCGACAAGAGGACGCACCGTGGCCTCATTGAGGCCTATTGGGCATCATCCTAAAACTCTGTTAATACTCCGAAGGTCGCACCGGATCTGAGAGATCCGCCGAGCGATCTATTTGATGTGTTATTATTGGGAGAAGAGGACCCTGTCTTCACTTATTCTCTCGGCGCTTGTAGTCTTAAAATATAATAGTGGGGTGATCTGTGTTGCATTCAATTTTTGTACCAAAACTTGAGTTTTGACGGCGTACATGGAAATTTTTTATGGGAAAGGGATGCAATGGCAACTGATTAATTTAAATGAAAGCCTTTATTGGGCTGTTATGTATTGCAGGAAGAAAAAATCTGGATGATTATTGTGGAACTTACTAGTGGCTTTGGAATCGGGATATTTCATCTCACTATGAGTGTATAAAGGTTTCAATCAATTTTTACTTTGTTCCATAAGATTTGATGACAGTGCAAAGAAATAGACAGACTTGCATCTATCTGGGAAATATTTGAAGAGTTTGTCAAAATCTGGCAATCTGGTTATTCAGTTGGAGCAGACATAACTATCGATGATAAATTGAAGACCTTTAGAGGCTGATATTTATGTTGTGATGATTTTTGTATTAATTATTCTTTAATTCTATTATAATTGTTTCTAGTATTCAGTGATTTTGTCAATGTATTTTTCGTTTTTATTATTTAATATTTTTTTTTTAATTATGCAACTGTGTTTTTTACTCAATAAATGTATTTAAAAACTCGTCTAGTATCTTTTTCATTCACTACAATGAGAAATTTGTTGGTATTTTTGATCAATAAATTGATTTAGTGAAGTAGGTGAATCTCACAGATCCGTAGCGATCTTCCATGTGACTCTAAGGCTAGCGACCTTCGGAGTGTTAAAACAGGCCAGGTGCCTTTGCGAGCTTTTGAAGACTAATGGGATCTATCAATTCACAGAGCTTAGTGTCAGTGGTACAATTACATCCAAAATGAAAATACCGCAGTCAGGCCAAATTATCAAATCTGCATATAACGTGATAAGTGGTCTCGCCCTCCAAGGCATACAGCCTACAGGTAGGAATCTCACTTAAGCCCAAGTTAATGATGTGCTTATTGAGTCGACAGTGACCAGTATATAGTCCTGTCACACACCTAATGGTGCTCCTGTCCATTAGAAGAAGTGATACGCTTCTCTTGTAACTGAGTCCTCCTAGGAACAACTTAGAGAGAGTTCGTTTTCTAGTCTGTTCCCAATAGAGCTTAGTTTTGTCGCCAGAAACTCCCTTAATGTGCCTTTTGGAACAGCCGAGGCTGATCTCACAGATGGGCTCTGATGTTACTGGCACTTGTGCAGAGCCCTTCCTAGCAAGGCAATCAACTTTCTCATTACCTGGAATGCCTGAGTGCCCAGGCACCCATTCTGCACTCATCTACCAACTTGCAAAGGGTTGCGTAACTATTCAGGGCACCAATTGCCGCTTTTTTTTCTATTCATAAATATCGAAATCAATCTTATCGTAATGCCCTCGCTTATTAGGGATTGAGTACAGAAGTCGATAGCTAAAACCTCGGCTTGAAAGACAGACGTATGTCTACCTAGAGATATGAATATTCCCTCGTTAGGTTTATCCTTTATCCTGATCCCAGCTCTTCTCTGATCCTTGCTCCATCGAGGACCCGTCGGTATAACAGTTAACTCCATTACATGGTCCGTGAAAGTTGGTTCTGCTTTTATATTGGGGCTTCAGGTTATTTACACTCGTGAATTATTAAAACAAAACCCCGGCACAGGATATAGACCTTTTTGAGGGTGTTTAACTGTGATTGGGAATTTGGGAATCTAATACCTTTTATGACACTGTGTGAGAAGAAACAATTAGAATACATATTTGAAATGTGGGACTTAGTAAACACTTTGAATGAGAATTGACTAACCTTTTTTATTATTCTTCAATTGTGAGGCCTATAGGACAACTAAATAAAAGGACTATTCACTCCTGTATAATAAAACAATTTATTCTGACAACTGACATAAGTGAATATATTAAAGTCTAATAACTGTAGGCTTGATATTCTTAGTCTTCAATGGAGTAAGCCTCTCTTCCCAGATGACGTCTTGTGTTGGTGTCCAGGCCTCAAGTCCGTCTTCCTCGTCTCTTCTGACAACCTCCTTTCTACCTGTCCCGGTCTAGAATGCCTTCTCTTCTCTCCAGCTGTTGCTACCTGCTGGGTCCTTTCGGTACCTCCCACCTTCTTCCTTCTTCATCGATTATTTATCGATATGAGACTTTTCAAAGAACAATTTGTCCACTGCACAATTGAGTACAATTCACAGTGCAACCTCACATTCCTATATATTATATATTCCTTCTCATTCCCTCACCCAATGTCAACTAAAAGAGTAAATACAGGGGGATGTCTACTACAGTATGTCTCTAAATTTATCAACTTGAAGGTCTGAGTTCATCGGGAGCACCTCATTGCTATCAATCATATCAAACACAATTCCATGTCCCTGAACTGTCAGGAATTTCGAACTCGTTCCCAATTTATCCATTCTATAGGCAGTCCTAAAAGCATTTGCATGTGCTTCCACCTCTGTGCAATAGTGTTAAGTTGAAGAGATAGGAGTTGTGATCATAGATCAAGTAGTCATAAGGCATGCAAGCCTTTTTATTTATCAGTTAAAAATGTAGTTATGTGGTAAGAAATTAATTTAAGGAAAGATTTAACAAGTTAAATCAAAAATCATCTTAAAATCCCCATCAAAAAATTATTTACTCAATATCTAATTGAAAATTTGACGTACATTGTATGTGTTCTTGTCATTACTCGAGCATTATTAATTTTTAAAAATTAGAGAAGTAACTGAGATTAGGTTGGCCTGAGGTCGAAATTGAATGTTTTCAGCACGTCAATGAGTGACTTCGTATCAAAACCAGACGTCTGTCCGTTTCAGTTTCAGAAAGTGGTGAAAAGGAAGAAAACATTTTTGTTTTACAGGTTCAACTTAAACTGTATTTGATGATTTTATTTAAGAATGTTCAAGTTGAATCATAAATGTCATATATGTAAAAGTAATTGTATCATATTTTAGTAGACTAACTCTGTTTTTATAAAAAAAAAATAAATAAATAAAGCCAAAATTCACAACGTTCTTAAAAGGTCAGTTTCATCAAAAATTTACTAGCTGACTTTTTCTTTGAAAATATTGTTACACCATTTCATAATATATAAAGATATTTAAGGATTTATATTTCAATTTTTTTTTAAATGTTAGTATATATTTTTTAAATTGTAAATTGATTTATATTGATGTGATCGAAAAAAAAAATTAAAATCTGATATTGGACAATACCGAAAGGAAAATATCAATATCGATATTATTATAACATCTCTAGCTCTAGAATTAAGAACTAATTCCATATATTTTTTTTCATTTAGTTTAATAAATTTTTAATACTTGCTAGAAGATCCTTATGGTATTAATTTATTTTCACTTGTTTTTTTGTTCTGTATTAGTGATTAATGATAATGGCCCTGTACTTTTCAGCTGTTCGTTGCACATTTACGAAGAAGAAGACAGAGAGGACCCAGAGGAGGAGAGACGGAAGACAGCAGAAGGAGCCGACGCACTCCTCAACCTGGCGGGCATCAAGACCGGCGGCCTGATAGCGGCAGCCAGCATCACGTTGTCTCCCGACAGGAAGCGGTGCGCACCGGCACGCGGCGGCCCCCCCTCCAAACGGAAACCTGCGTCTCCCCACAAGCTGAAGGTGAAGAGATAGGGGGGTCTCTGTTGTGTCACACCACAGCCTTTTTAAGTTTAAATAGTCTTTGTCTTGTCGTTGTTGTTTGGAAAGGGGGGTTTTGGTCGATTGTCGGTTGAGAATGGCTTTAGCGGGCGACCTGCATCGCCCAACGTCATAGGGGACTGGCTTGTAGTTATAGACAATTAGGATAGTTATCGTAATTGTAACATTAGTGCGCAACGACTAAACATTGTTATTTTCTATTTATATATCTATATCAAGTCCTGTTACTATTGTATAATTTATTGTTTGTCAGCAACAATTTTTAATGATTGTATCGATAACTTACTTTATTAATTTAATATTAATTACTGTTAATGTTTGTAACATTATAAGTTGTTCAAACTGTTTTTGGCCGAAGTAGGTGTCTTCAGGTATTACGAACTGTCAGCAGTTCATTATTTATACGCTGAACGAACGAATCTAAAAAATTACATTTTAAATAAAAAATCAACACGAAGCCGTTGTTAAGAACAGTTTGAACAATTGAAAACTATTGAAATTTTTGTATGTTTACTTCTTTATAAATAAATTATAACAATTGTTGATTAATACTATGCTGTTTTTTGTTAGTATATATATGCATAAGTTTATGTTACCTCTTAAGGGCAAGATTAAGTTTTGAGCAAATGTGTTGAAAATGCAATAGTTTGTGGGACGTTGGAATCTAGGCCATTTGACGACCCTGGCCCCTCCCCTTCTGAACTTATCGTAGTAAAATGTATTTAATATTTAGGAGAATTAATATATATATATATATATATTTATGTTGAGGACGAATGTTACAATGGCACGTTCTGTCCCGATTAGTCCAATTTATTTTACCTTTATACCTAGTTTGTTTATTGTAAAATTATATTTTATTTTATTTTTTTTTAATTATTATTGTTAAAAGTGGCATGAGATGTATAGAGTTGAGTGATTTAGCAACAATAGCTTTTGCCCCGTTAAACAATAAAACATTTAGCATATGGATGCAAAATGAAAAAAAATAAATAAATATGAATAATATTTTGAAAAACAAAAAAAAAATATATATATAGAGAGATATAATAGAACAAATATATTCTCAAAGGCATAGTAATGTATGTTCTTATAATGATAGCACATTTTCATTGTTGACTACTGCTATGTGGTAATATGTGTTGACAATATTTGAAAGAGAAGAATGGTAAAAAATTTGTTCTGACAAGAGTTATCTTACCTTCGTAATTGCTAAAGCCTGTTGTATATAGCTGTAACATTTTAATTTTGTTACGTTGTTGAATTTGATAGAAATATATATTTGGGTTATTTATTTAAGGTATTTATTAGTAAAAAATTGTTTTATTTTATTTAACTTTTTTTTTTGTTAATTTATGGCTACAGTGGAAACCAAAATTGTTTCCTTTCAAATGTGTATGATTGCTGTGCCATTTTCGGGTAAACGTTAGCAAAAATACTCTTTTTTTTTTTTCATTTTTCTTACTATCACATTCTTCCTTATCAGTAAATTTCTGTCGGGCAGTTCAGTAAAATTGTGGGAGATTGTCGCCCAGCTGTAAATCTATTATTGGTCAATTCTATATATTTAAAACAGATGTCGAATTTTTTCTAAAAATGTAATCCTTTTTGTACATATTTATATATAAATGACATGCATACATCTTTATAAAAACATTGTATAATTTTTTTAGTATACTGGTGTGTATGTGTTTACTCACACATCAATAGGATATATAACCAATTTTTGAAGCTTTCTGTGAGGAAAAGAAAAAAAAAAATTTTTTTTACAAATATGTGCCAAAATCTCCAATATTTTAAGAATCCTTCAACTGTCTATACCGATTAGATACTATCGCAGCGTAGCCTGTTATTTTTAGCCAACCTCTTTGTCTTTGTGATAAAAAAATTTCACAGTTAAGCCTCTCTGGCCCCTCGTTAGCGGTAACATTGCTCGTAGAAGCAGCAAAGAAAAGTCTATCGGAATTGTGATATTGGTGTTAGTCTCTTGATAACAATCATTCGCTGTTCAATTTTTGGTAGGGATTTTAGTATAAATAGTATTATAAAATGAAAAAAAAAAATTAATATTTCTTATAAAATACATGCTAAAATAAATATATATATTTAATAGAATTTTTGAAAAATATTCTGTAAATAGCAGAGGTTATCTTTAGAATCCTTTTTTCTATGAAATTAGATTTCTCTATAATTTTTTTGTGAGAAAATAATATTTTTAGAACGTGAAGAGACAAATATGTTTTTGTCCGCAGTTGACCAAAAACATTTTTTTTTTTTTTATTATTATGAAAGGGGCTCGTAGATGAGTAATACTTATACCAATGCTGACTGGGCAATATTTCTCAAAATATTAATTTTTTCCATATTATCTGTCTTTGATTGACAAGATCTATATGAGAAAATATACTGTTCTTGAGCTCACCAGTTTTGTTTAACCTATTTTTAAACTTTTAAGTTAATTCCTCAATAGAAGAAATTATACAGTACGATCTGAATGAGATTCTTACTTTCAAAAAGCAAATAAAAAAAAATTAGTAAGGATTGGAAAGTTTTATTTAGAAAAAGAAATTTAGAGAGTTTTTGATGAATTTCTAACATAATATAATAATATGACCTCACACACACTTTTCCTGTAGTTATTTTCCAAATATTGTTAGTGTTGTTTTATGAAAATAGGTTCAACCAAACCTATTTTTTAACCAAAGTGGGAAAGTCGAGATTCATTCTTTGCTAATATCAAAGATAAATAGTGAAGGAACTCCAAAATAATAACTTTAATGGTTCATTGCACATATTTTTTCTCGAACATCCCCCTACAACGATCGATTTGGGCATTATTTAGATAGCGCTGTATATATTTTCAAGTACTATTTTATTTCCGCTTATGTTTGTTATAATTAGTAAATATTGTTGCCTTGCGGCAACAAACTTGAGAAATATTGTTGGTTATCTAGCATTATTGTTATTACTTATCGAGCCCCTAAAAACACCGGAAGCAATACTTTAAAAAAATATATATATTGAAACATTCGGGGAATTCGATGCTGTTCCAAAGAGGATGGTCTTATTGAAGAAAATTTCGAAAAGAAAAATGTTTAGCTAAGTCTTCCCTGTGTAGTGGCCAAATTATATAATATATATTACTGATTAACGTTAGGTTCTAGACGTAGCCCTAAGACAGATTCATAGGCTGTAAATAATAATATCGGACACAACTTGTACTTTAAATCGGATAAGTATAGAAGAAATCATGTACGCTTATAATGTGCAGAGGCCTATCTATATAGTAGCGTGTGTTTGTCAACAGCCAAAAATGTCCGTCTTTCTTCAGTATCTACAATAAGTTTAATCTACTCGGTAGGGTATTTACTTTGAGACTTTTTGGCCTGTCGATTCTAAAAGAAAAAAAAAAATGTATATTAAAAGAGTAACATATGTCCATTATAGAGAAATGTCTCGGGACATTGGAATTAGTTTTAAAAGTGTGCGCTGTCTTCCAGATAGATGAAACGTGTTGCGTGTGCACACTTCCAGCCTCATATATAATATATATGTATAAAAATAGGGTATGTTTCGTAGGCAACAGTAGGTTGGCTGTTAACGTGAACAAGGGCGTTTATCCTTACGAAATAGGTTGTCCCCACATTTTTATTTTATTTTTAAAATTTATCAAAAGTGCTAGTGGTCTTGGTTGATCTATACATACACATTTGTATAAGAATACAAATATGTGTCTATATAGACATAGATTTATTAGAGCGATAAAATAATGACGTATATATACAATATACAGATATATTATATGTATATGGCGATATATATATATAATAAAAAAGCAATAATTATATTAATATATATTATAAATATATGTATAAAAAAGTTTATCTTTATAAGATGTGTTATTTTTTTTTTGTTTTATTTATAATTGTTTTCCCTTCATATTATGAGTTATATAAATCATGTTCATTTATGCATATCCAAATGTTATGCATAATCATTTATTAGACATGTTGAGAAAATATATTTGTTGAACTGTAATTATCTATTTTTTAAATTATTGATTCCACTCCTCTTGAAATCCTCTCGACTCCTTATGTTTACATTAAAGCACAAACTTAGGGAACACTTTAGGAAAAAAGTTTTTAAAATAGAATTTCTAAGAAACTTTTTTTTGTATTTAAGTTCCAAATTTATGTCGAAAGTTTAACTTGTATTTATTCAAGTTCTTAAGAAAAGTTCAGTTATATAAAAATAAATAGCAATTGGGCTTAAATTAGGTTTACAATTGGTCTTAAATGAATTACACGTGGATCAAATGTGTCATTTATTTGAGATATGAATAAAAGTAATTTTCTAGATCGACTTTTTAGCGAAATCGATAGAAATTTTAAATAAAAGATTTTTAAAAATAAAATTTCTGTAGAGCTTCTACTTTTAAATTTACTGAGAAAAAGTTAAGGACTGAAAAACTAACGACAGTAAAAATTCCAGTGATACCAAAACTTTTTAAAAATAACGTTTTTTTCCGTTCCAATCTCTGCAAAAAAAACTAAATGAAGAATAACTTTTATTAGAATGTCATTTGGAAACTTTGCATACATATGTATATCCTCGTCACTACAGCCCAATTCGAGCCCCAGCCTCCAAAAGAAATCGACCTAACTCGTCTCTGTTCCTGGCCATCGTCCACCGGCCCTATGTTTCCAACCGCACTGCATCTTTCCCCATCATCTCATTTTGGGTCTTCCTTTCTCCGTTTTACCCACCAAGCACATACCTAATGGTTCTCTTAGGAATACTCTGTTATCTGCCATCCTGGAAACTTTTGGAACTCAAATTAAAGTCAACAATCATAGAAATATCTTTGTTTTTCTTCTTAAGCCCCCCTATGAAAACAAACAAAAATTTAAATAGTTTTAAATGCGATCGTTGATAAATATTGGGTTGTCCGGAAAATAATGCAGCATATTGGTTTAAAAATAAATACAAATAATACTATACATAACGACTTAAACACCCCGGCAGTAAAATCCTACATACACGGCAAATACACTACATTTCATTCTTCAACCCAAAATCACTCCAATCCTCTGGTTCTTTCTATCTCCTGCTCCCTGTTACCTGAACGACACAGATTAAAAATAAAATGGCCAAGAGACCTACTACATCAATAAAAACAAATAGACCAAAACAGTATAAATACAATTTTGCTAGATGCGCTGCCGCTCAGGTGCAAACTGCATAGAATATAAAGAAATAAAATAATTAAAGAAAACAGAAAGATTTACAACTGTTTTATTTAATCAAAATAGTCTCCATACTATTAATACATTTCTGCCAACTTTTCCATTCCCTTGAATAGAACATCCTATCTTTAGAATTTATAAACTCCAAAAATGTATTTTCTAATTCCCTTTGTCCATTAAATTTTTTTTCAGGTAAGTAGTGACCCAGGTCTTAAAAAAAATGATAATCCGTAGGCTAGAGGTCCTGGGAGTAGGGCGGATGTGGCAGAATTTCATATTCAAGCTCCAACAGTTTTTGTGACGTCAAACATGAGACATTTGGCCGGGCATTGTCATGCAACAAAATGGGTTCCTTCCGACTGACCAAAGATGACTTCATTATTATCAATTTCTGATGCATTGGATTAATTTGGTTACAATACGATTCAGCATTGATAGTTTTCCAGGATTTAAGAAGCTGTAGTACATCAAACCAAATGAAGCCCCCAAACAGTAATCATCACCTTTTTTTAATGAGTCGGGGGACTTTGGAAAATGTTCGGCTGCTTCTCCTCCGTCGAGCCAATGTCCAGAACGTCTACTGTTATCATAAAGCATCTACTTTTCATCACAATACAATCATTTCTGATCAATGATAATTTTTTCTTTATTAAGGAGTTTCTGTTTCTATGGTTTTCCTTCACCTAAATATTATTTAAAATATTTTTCCATACTGCTTCATCCATGTCCCACCAGGCTATCTTCCCCCAAATCTATTTGCAGACATTCTTTTAATGGGTCCAAACCACTTTAATATTTTTTCTTCGATATCTGCTAAAATATTCTTTTTCACCTCCATCAGTTCCAGGATTTCCCTTCAGGGGTCTTTAATATCTGCTCTTCTCCAAAAGTCTATTTTCACAGCTAGCAATCTTTTTTTTGGAGCGGGATGGCAGAGCGAGCTAATGCGCGTACAAGTCGTATTGCCCAGAGCAACCTGTGATAAACTGAATTTTATGAGTTCAAATCCTGGCACCAGGGGTCTTTTAACTCTGTAATTAATCCCCCGTCCTCACCACTGGCTCGGGAAAACCTCGTATAGCCTAAAAGGCGAGGTAGGAGTGGACAAAAATAAAACAAAAAAATCTTTTTCTGTATCTGGCATTAATTCCCATGTTTCTGAGGTACATGTCGTTTTAGGCTGGAATACGTAGATTAAATATTAGTCTTTTTGTACTATCAATGATAAAAAAATAGTTTTTTTTTTGTCATGGTTTAGCTCTTACCATAATTTAGATATTGTATATTGCTTCTGAAGTTGAAAAAAAATGGTGCGTGCAATACACAACTTTCACTTACCGCTCAACTTAGAATAGAAATTATTTTCTGGCCATGTTGGTCTATTATAAAATTTTCGAATTGCATTTTTAATTGAGCTAAAGCTAAAAGATTACAGCTAACAGAAACTTCATAAATAATTTCAAATCATCATAACCTACAAATATTTTATTTAGGAAAATTCTCGGAATTGGGGCGTTTTCAATCTGGAGGGGGGCAAACTTTGTATATTTAACTAGGTACTAAAAACTTCTAAATATCGATTTGCTTTTCACCTGAATCATAAGATAATTTTAGCACAAAACCGAGAAAAAAGTTGGCCTTCAAAAATATTGAGCCGTTTGCCATGACCAACACTCACAAACTGTCAAAATAACGAGGCTATATAGGACAAACGGCCCAATATTTTTAGAACACCTTTTTTATCGATTTTGTGATAAAATGATCTTATTTAATATATATATATTAAATGATATCCTCTCGTTTTCTCTGCACAACCTATCAAATTATTTTATTTTGGTTCAGTGTAAAATATGCAATGGATGTGGAAGAATTCTTAATCGAATGTGTAAGGGAAAATATTCTATTGTTCTTTTCAACTCAGACATGATCAACTTTGCTAATTTTTACTTTCCTACCTAAAAAACTAGGTAAGGAAAGTATTGCGATTGGGTCAAATTTTTGACAGGCGGTTTTCGACGGATCTATATGTTTTAGAGCCCCTTTAGCTTGAAAAACATATTTTCAGCCATTGGTTTGTCTGTCTGTCTGTGCCAAGATTACCTCGGGAACTAGTGGGCCAATTTTGTTGCTTATTTTATTTTATTTTGTAGGGTTTTGACTACTGATGTCTGACACAAATTGGGTGCTCCATGTGAAATAAGTAAAAAACATATTATTCTCTAGACTGTAGCGCTAAAACAGCTCTGACGATTTTGATAAATATTTTCTAATTAGTGTTCTTTCAATTTTTGTACATGTACTAAATTCTCGAGAAAATTCAGAAAAAAAAGTTATAAAGAAAAGAAAAATGTTTTGGGGCCTAACTCACTAAGTATGTATTCTACAGTAAAATTTATATGAAAACTTTGAAAGGTAATTAAATTAACTTTCAAAAATTAATAAACCCATAATAAGTGATTGGTTTTAAAACTAAGATATTATGAAAGGCTACAGCCATCTCGTTATGTTTATTATCAAATTTGACAACCCAAGGATACAATTTTATTCTTTGGTAGAAAAACCTAATGTTAAGAATAAGTAGGGTAAGCCTACCAGTGATGGCCATAGCTAAGGAAATTTTTTACTTATGCCACCATAATTATTATAGTTACAAACTTCTAGGTTGGACATTTAGAATCTCTAGGGTCTCCTTTTTCTATTTACCACTTTAAAATTTAAAAAAAGGTACTTCTTCACTAGCCGGCACTGACTGCTATCTGCCAATGTTTATAACCTGAAAACTGATAATTTTGATAACGCTTATTACGATTATATTCGTATTATTGAAAGTGTAAACAGATACAAAAACAAATGTAATAACAAAAAAAATTTTTAAAGCTGTTAAAAACGAAATCCTCTAGCTCTCTAACCGTGTTCCTTTCCTTATTGAAAGTTTTGTGTCATAAGTCCAACGACAGGATCTCCATTTGGCATTTCCCGGTTAACTTCATTCGATGACCTCGTTCACAGAATTTCATGTCTGCAAATATCCCAACATTTTGAAAATATTGAATTGCCTGTTCTTCTGAAGACGGCAAATCCCTGGCATGTTATAACAAATTCATAATATGATGAAAATAAATGAAAAATAAACACAAACGAGCAAAAAGTAAAGAATTTAATAAGTGAATAACTGAAAACTAAACAATGCAATAACTCAAAGGTTTGGCCGGATAAGAAGAGAAAGGTTATGTGACATGGCGTTAGATAAGATAGATAAGAAGTAAGGTTTCAAACCGGCCTGTTAATGAAGAAGTACCTAAAAAAATATCCAATTATGCAGGTATAAAAAAAAAATCTTTTTACACTAGTGATGAATACCCTGAACTTCAATCGTTACAGTAATGGACAGGGTGTCAATACTAGTAATGGACAAACCTCAGAAAAAAATTTAATTTTTTATTTGACAATAAATAAAATGTTCAAACTACTCTTAGCAAAACTGGTAGTAGGAGTGTATGAAACACATTGATCTCAAGAGCACTAAAGAAACAACAATGGTAGACATTTTAAAATTTTCTTTTGGGAACTTTGTTCATACAGTTGCCAATAA